AAGATCGAACATCAAAGACCAGGTGGAATGTTACAGCAGCTGAATATTCCCCAGTGGAAGTGGGACAACATCTCGATGGACTTCGTAACTCACTTACCGAGGTCATCGAGGGGTCACGACTCCATATGGGTGATAGTTTATCGATTGACGAAGAGCGCCCGTTTTATATCCATCAATCAGAAGATGTCAATGGAGAAGTTAGTGGAGTTGTACATAATAGAAATTGTAAGATTGCATGGTGTACCAGATAACATCGTATCGGATCGGGGTCCAAGGTTTACCTCGAGGTTCTGGTAACAATTGCAGGATGCTTTGGGTTCTCAGTTGAGGATGAGTTCAGCATATCACCCTCAAACAGATGGACAGACTGAAAGAACTATTCAATCATTAGAGGACTTGTTAAGGGCTTGTGTTTTGGACCATCTTGGAGGTTGGAGTGTGATCTTACCATTAGTGGAGTTCACATATAACAACAACTATCATTCTAGCATCGCGATGGCGCCTTTCGAAGCTTTGTATGGGTGAAGATGTCGAACTCCTCTTTGTTGGTTTCAAGATGGGGAAGCAATATCAGTAGGTCCTAATTGTTGCAACAATTTACTGAAAAGGTGAAGTTGATTTAAGAGAGAATGAGAGCAACACAGAGTAGGCAGAAGTCGTACGTTGATCGGAGAAGGAGACCGCTTGAGTTCAATGAAGGTGATCATGTGTTTCTACGTGTGATATCGATGGCAGGTGTGGGTAGGGCTATCAAGGCTAGGAAGTTGTCTCTTAAGGTTCTTGGTCCTTATGATATTCTTAGGCGGATTGGGCTCGTAGCGTATGAGATAGCGTTACCACCGCAGTTGGCAAACCTGCATAACGTGTTTCACGTGTCTCAACTGAGGAAATACATTCCAGATCATACACATGTACTAAAGGTTGATGATATACAAGTGGATGAAGATCTTACAATCAAAGCTGGGCCAATCAGAGTGTTGGAGGTGCAGACGAAAAATTTGAGGGGAAAGGAAATACGCACGGTGAAGGTGTTGTGGAACGAGGAAACCCAAGAGATGACTTGGGAGCTTGAAGAGTTTATGAGAAATGAATACCCATTTCTGTTTGCGTAGTAGCCTTAATTTTCGAGGACGAAAATTTTTGGAGTAGGGGAGAATGTAAGACCCGTATAAATAAAATGATTTCTTACCTTAAGTATTTTATTT